CACTACAATAGCTTATTTAAAGTGGAAAGGTGATACTAGGGGTCTTTTGAATCCCCAGTATCACCTTAAAGGGTACCTGTCACCACCAATATGCTATCACATGGGGGGCTTGTAAGCACCCTATGTCATAGCAATTTAAGTAGAAAAAAAAAGTTTACAAAATATTAAATTCATGCATTTACATAAACACGCGTCGGGTCCGCCTACGTACGAAAATGACGATCGCGCTACACATTTTGTGTAGAATGTGCTCTGCTTTGGGGGTCCCTTAAATTACTGATGAACAACTGAATCTTAAAGAAGCGTTGGGTTTATTTACAAATAGGGATATACATACATTCTAATTACAATTAAGGGAAATGGAGAAGGGATTTGGAGGGGGTCAGTAGGGATAGGAATTTAGGTTAGGATCCTTCAGCTAACAACCAAATTCTCTCTCTCTCATTCACACATGCCATGGGTTTTTCTTTGTGCTCAGAACACTCCTCTTCAGCAGGTCTCAACGAATCACATTCTTGATTGTAGAGTCCCGAAAGACTTGTTTTGTCCAAGAGGTCACCAAGGTTACCATCGTTTCTGCTTGTGAGCTAGGTTTGTGCAGATGATCACACAGGAAGAAAGTTCCATCATATGCTCCTGCCCCCCTTCCCAGCATGTATGCTGCCTTGCTGACACAGGTGTGGACAGTAAATACCGGCAGGGGGTTGGGCTTGTCCAAGGAAATGACAGCCCGGCAGATCTTCATTCAACAGTGTCCTGCCCCAAGAACCCTTTGATGGTCCTCATTTGCGTATCACACAGCCATATGCTCATTTAGTTCAGGATATCAAGGAACATCTTCATATCAAAGCTTTTCCATAGATATTAATTTTATCGGCTCCAACAGCCGCTGTCTTCCCCATCTGGGTCCCACATCCCTCAGCTCCTCCTATTGGGTGGCTGTTTTAAAATAACTCCTGCACATGTGCACAGTCCCCAACACGCAGCTGCTTTTTTGGCATCTTATAGATGTCGGGCATGAGCCGGGGTATACACTGCACTGTGCACAGTACATCCTTCTATCTTCTGGCAAGTTACACTTCAAGCAGTCCTCAAAATCCAATGATGGGCCCTATCTCCTTTTAACTGACCATTATAGATCATTAATAAACTGAAGAAAATAAAAGGCATTATGTATGTACTTATAAGGTGCATTGCTGGTGAGGTTCTTTAGTTTATTATTTTAATATTTTACTTTAGGTCCAAACCTAGTAAATGAAATGACGATCTGTCCAATTATATGTCCAAGAGACTGCCGATGCAAGATATGTGTCGCTGAGATTCTAGCTTTATCCACCTGTCATTACCTTTATGAGTTGCCTCTTTTTCAGTGATAGTTCAGTTTTTTTTTACAAGTGCAGCAGCAGTTAAAATTCCTTGTTTAGGTTTGTAATGGATGCAGAAGGGGGGGGGGGGGGGGGGTGGCCATCTCTTTAT